AGTAACTTCGTTACAAGTAACGAAATTACAAGTAATCGTTACTTTTTGAGTAACTGTAACGGTAACTAGTTACCTTTAAAAATAAGGTAACTGTAACTGTAACGAGTTACATTTTGGCCTAAAATGAAACGATAACGCGTTACTTTCATAGCCAACGTTTACGTTACTTTTTTCGTTACATTCTTGCGGTAAAAACTTACAATTCACCTCTCAGTTCTCGAAATTCTCCTCACGGTTTTCTACGACAATGCATGCTTCAGTGGTTCATGGATCCTTCAGTGGATCCATTAGTGGTAAGGTGACATAACGTTTACAAATAATTAACCTCAATCTTGACCACTAATCATTAAGTTGAAAAAAACTGGGTTTTTTCTTACTAATTGAAGTAACTTGTAACTAGTTACAAGTTACTTCAATTTAAGTAATTTTGTAACGGGAACTAGTTACATATTTTTAAGTGTAACTTTTACCAGTAACTAGTTCCTTTTTTGGGAATGTAACTGTAACTGTAACTAGTTCCAAAAAATGAGTAACTTTTAAATAAATAAACCGTTCCACTTTATAAGATTCACGACGTCGACATTTAAACTATAAATACTTACATCCTTTTGAAAATGAATTTAAAAGAGACGTGTGACTCCATTTACCGTTTGTTATGCTCTTGTATCCATGACGGTAAAACTTTTGTTGTGAGGTTGACGTCGTAGATATTGAGCTGTCAGGGACCTTACGATTTCAGGACGGCAACGCGACGGCAACGGCTACCAATACAATAGATCATTGAAAAGAATTGAGTAATTACAATGCATGCAATGCATGCAATTGCATGCAATTAATCGTCTTTAATTTTGCTCAAGTTTTCGTTTTATTATTATTAGCATATTGAACAAATTTTGACAACAATTTAAGCGGCCTCTGGATGAACATTTTTCAGTACCCTGAATATCATTTGTGGCGTGTGGATTAGGTAACTCTTGTAGCAGAAATTCGGGACAGACGTTTGATAGCCTTGATACATGCAGTCTCAAGGTAGACATTTTATGGGAGGTTCAAACTCCAAACCTAATATGATGCAACTGTTGCGCAAATAACGAAGTATTTGTACAACTCTTAAAGCCCTGTCACACTATTGCGTATCAGCGAAACGTATGAGAAGCGTATGAAAATTAGTGAAATAATTTCCATACGCACAAAATTATAAAAATCCCTTGAAATGCATGCCAGCGTGTGAATACCGTAGCCTACATTTGGCGTCCCTCTATAGCATATTCAGCGTGTGCCTTTTGTGTACTTATCGTTTTCATCACGCTAACAAACATATTAGTACGATACGACGATATGCAATAGTGTGAAAGGGGCTTAATACTCGTACATAGTCAAATCTAAAGCAGTAAGATAAAATCTGTCTATTATAATTTGTATTCGGTTTACTGATTTCTACATTAAAACACAGACTACAGTGTATGAGTATTGCTGTATATGGAATGGTTTTCTGATTACCGCATGCAGCCTATAGCTCTGGACATATTCGCACATTTGTCTTGGCCCTATATATATAGGAATTCTCAAAATGCATCACTGCCTTGGCTCTAGGAATTCTTCAAGATGCATCATTCATTAGACTACGTACCGCATCGCTTCAGAAGCTGGTCTGGCAAGTTTGCTGAACATGTACAGCTGCAGTGTGAACTGTGAAGGATATGCAACTACCTAATATAAGCAGGACTCCATCGTTTTAATTAGCGAAACCCTTTGTCGGGGTCCTTCGAAAGGCCTTCACTCGAAACGTCAAAGTTCTGTTTTCACATCGCAGCAGTTTGTCATCGTCTCTACCTATATATACATGCACGTCTGGCACTGATCGTTCAAGTTCACTGAACACAATCATTTGGATTTCCAACAAAACCACATATAAAAATTTAATCACTAATGATCGAACGACCTAATAGGTTGATCGGCTATTCGAGTGCCTCGACCTTGTATACAATATTTTTTCGTCATGCATACAAACTCAGAAAGTTTATTGTTGTATAACTCTGAAACGTTTCCCAGACAGTAAGATGAAAGTCTTAGTCTATTTCGTATGTTTCGATCGATCTTGCATCACGACTAGATTCAGTCACGAGTTTCGATTTGTTTGTAAGAGTGTGGGCGTTACCTAAAGATTCTTCTAACAAGAAGGGAATATATGATAACATATATAGATTCATTATCATATAGTTAAAACCCTGCACAGTATTGTTAACATAAAGTTGACTCAGCCTGCATTTGGAACCGGTATATATACTCGAATTCATGAAGACTGGCGTTATTAATAACTATAAGCCAACATGAACTAAATATATTGTCAACATAAGCCAGATTTGAAGCTCGGTATAGTTCAGCTTCAGCACAAAATGGCGTTCTGCCAATAGACCTTTCCCCTTTTGAGTGAAAGTTTGATCTAGACAAGTCTCGACAAAAATTTTATCACAGAGGAGAGCATACCAAACTAGTAGATTGTTTCAGTTCAGTATAGGTAATGAGTTCAATTCCAACACCGTATATTGAATGATATATAAATTGTTGTCTTCTCCAATTTGAATGCGTGGGCGTGGTATAGGTATAGTGGTTGTTATTCTGGTGTGTTCTATAGCTACATAATGTCTGGTAGTTTTTTATAAAGTTAAAATCAAAGTCAACTATAGATGGTTAAGGCATTTAAAGACAGAGATATCTTCGACGTTCTGTGCATGGGTTTTTTTCATTCGAGATTATATCTTGACTATGCAATGTAAACAAAAGCTTCAGCATGCAGTGGTCATTTCGATGATATCATTATCGCCGATTACGTCCTGGGTCAATCTTCCGCATCTCCACAAAAAACAATTATATATGCTTATAGCGCTGATATAGACACTTTCCACTTGGAATAGAATGGCTCTAAAAAACGCCACATTATCAATGAATTATTTATTCCGCTTTTTAAAACAGCAAATCTTTGTTATCACCAATTATTATCAGATTGCATTGTTACTCACTGTTGGATGTTGTGGCCACAGCAAAATTTAGCCAGATGACTGCATCATCCTGTAGTATCGAGCTGAAACGACTTTTTCCGGTTACTATATGCTTAAATATGCAAGACTTTTGAATCAACTGTTTATTTCAAGATCAGAGAGCACAGAGTGAGGACTTCGTATACAAAACGGTACGGTAAGTCAAAATTTTTGTTCAAACATGCATGCATGTTGGACACATAAACGGCGGGCCAATAAGAATTTACATCGTGAAGAAATCATAGCCATAGGTTTCGCTTGCTTCTTACCCTTTTATAGGCATTACTTATAACTTTCTTATTGCACTCAGTTTAATAATTTTGTCTATTTAAAGCTTCCATGAGTCAAAGATGGAATTTTCTGTTTCACAAGGCAACAGCTGAACCGAGCTTATATGTTAAGAAGCCTTGTTAATTTTTTCATTGTATATATGGTTTACTTTTTTTCACAGAAAGATGTCCAATCGCTTGGTATTAACAACCACTCTAATTTTATCAGGTAAACTATTAATCATATCTTATTAGTAATTTATACAGGTTCTATAGTGTTAGAAAAAACAAGTCATATACTTATATATATAAATTGTCAATTGAAATTTGTTGAACTGCAGCGTAAATTACCGCTTATAGCTCCCTGCATTGTATACGTGACAGTGCTTTATAATAACATGCTATCCTTCAGTTGGCTGTTGCATGGTTGCATTAATTATTTTGAAGATTTAAAATTAATTAGCTGGATTGGTAAAAGTTTGGTAAACCTCAAACATTTCATGCGCCGATTCAAATATACCTTTAACATATATGATTCGTCACATGAACATATATAGTTGCACTTGAATAACTTTGATTGACTTGAAACGTGCCTGACCTTCGTTAAAATATTGCAGTAGTAACTGTAATAACAATTCGATTTTTACTGCTTAGGGTTGATTGCCGTGACGACAGTACTGGGATCGTGTAAAAATGGTGGAGTGATTGTTGGCCAGAAGCTTTCTCCAAATTGCCGTTGCAGCCCTGGCTTCAAGGGAAATGACTGCAGTCAGAAAGGCAAGCGGTTTAAGATACCAGAGATTGATGATGTCAATTATAGAATGATTGAGTTGTCATAGTTTAAATAAAGGAACAGTGGTGTGCTGGCAGGGGGGCAGGGGGCCATACCTTTTCCCCATGGGCATAGGTCACAGTATTGGGTGACTTTTTTCTTGTCTCTAGTGACTCCTTGTGAAGCAAGTCCTTGTAGAAATGGAGGGTCATGTTCAGAAAACAGAGATGGAACATTTACATGTAATTGTACAGCTTTACACAATGGCATCTTGTGTGAACATCGAAGTGAGTTACATATTTGCTATATGAACTTAAAATGAAGCAAAGTCAAATTCCGCTGAGTACTGATATCAGAAGTTATAATATTAAAATTTAGAAGAAAAAAAATTATTTTCCATAATAAAGGAAATTGGCCTTACATTAGTCTGTTTATATAGAAGACCTGATTTGAGAATGAACTGTACTAATCGGTTACTAGAGAGTTTGAGCAAGAGAACGAAGTCGGACGACGACGACGTGGTTGACAATTTTTGCCTGTCTTGCACATTATCTTGCGCATTCTGAGTTTAGGGTCAGGAGTGAAGACAGATTAGAGATTCATGTCTAGTTTGTGAATGCTGACCCAAATCCTTACCTTGGTCAGGATAAAACAGCGAGACATGAATCCATATCCCGTCTTCGTTCTTCTGCCTTCGTTCACAACGAATATTTTGGCAAAATTCGTTGTGAACTTCGTTCTGCACGAAGGCAGAAGGACAAAGACGGGATATAGTTTCATGTCTCGCTGTTTTTTTCTGGATCAGGGCAAGAATTATGGTCACTTGGTCAGTATTCATAAACAGCGACACATGGGAAGACACGTTGACGAACCACCAGTGACGTCCAACACAGTATGCACAAGATAATGTGCAGACGGCAAAAATTATCAAGTATGCCTTCGTCTTCGTACTTCGTTGTATTGCTCAAACTCGCTACTGTAGGGCTGACGACTGAGCTATAGGGAGCTAGTTTCAGACAGCCTCTTATGGTTAGTATGAAATTATGGTTTCAGGTCGGTCCTATAGACCTAGGTCAGTCTCAGGTCAGTTCAAATCAATTTAGTTCTCAAGACAAACAGTTTTTAAGATGGTATTTTAGTCTGGTATAAGTTTCTATATTTTACGACGAAGCTTAGAAACCTAACAGAATATTTTTCTTCCAGTTCGACCATGTGACAGTGGACCCTGCAAAAATCGAGGCAAGTGTACTGATGATGGAATAAAATGTTTCCAATGTGAATGTCCACCGGGTTTCAAAGGACCTGACTGTTCTAAAATTGGTAAGATACAGGCTCAGCAGGGACCTTGTATCGATTTTGCGATTGAGTGCTGGTGTTGAAATGAAACTTTTGAAAATTACAAGCCCGGAAAGTGCATTTCCATGGATTTCCTATACAGTATTAAATTTTGTTCAAAGTAACCATGATTGTGTATATTGCCTGATGATAGGCGGATACAGTTTTGTGAAACACATGCATGTCTCTGATAAAAATTAGTCAGTGAAGATTCTTGCCGATGATTATCGTATTGTAAAAGAACAATTACACAAATTTTCAACGATCAAGTCGAGCGTTACTCTGCTCTGAAAATTAAGTACATGCATGTAAGTTTAAAACTGCGACACTGTACAGAATCCCAAAACACATCTACATAGTCCCTGCTTAGTTACGGGGGGGGGGTACCTAAAATCCTGCCCGTGCTAAAAACTGTAACCCCCAGTTGTAAAGAACACCTCCAGTTTTCTTTTTATAGGAATTTTCATTGGTGATCATAAATTAAAACTTTCTTTAATCAGTTTAATGTTTACACATTCGTCAAAACACAGTGCTTTTTTGGACTGTGTAAAACAACCACTGAAAAAAAAATCAGTAATGCATGTATAATTTATCTCACAAAAAATAATGTCATTGCCCAGTATTATATGCACCAGGTTTTTAAAAATTCCATCATACGTCAAAATGTCGACGCAAACGATACTGAACTGTCATAATTCGGAACAACGTTATTAATATTAATATTATCAAGTATATATGTTACATAGTATAATCATATAGAGTTAATTACTCCTATACGTGCGCTCTTGAATATTGTTAGTTCAACCATGTGAAATTGAACCCTGCAAGAACAATGGTGTTTGTGTGAATAAAAAAGGAGGAAAGTTCACATGCAAGTGTAAGGAGGGATTTAGAGGATTATTGTGCGATATGAGAGGTAGGTCTGTTTGTCGTATGTGTTGAAGATTACCACAAAGTTAACTTACACCCCGTTTATTGACAAAGTTAATTAACTATATGACACCCGGTTTTTTAATCCAGTCCCCACAACGAAATCTGACGTTCATGTTGCCAAAAACGTCGCTTGCTTAGCCCGTCGATGCAGTTATTATCCAATCTCCCCCGAATTGGCAGTTTGAATGCACACGAACGACTAGAATCGTCAAAGTTGGCATAATCCTACTGCATGTATATAAGTTATAGCCATTCGCCAGTAATGCATGGTCTATTTAATTCTAAATATATATTATAAATAAAATATCCTGAAATGCCATCGGAGGATGATCATCGTTAAGGTAGTATTTTGCCTGGCTCTATCACATTAAAATAAAGTGACGAAATATCACATCAAATCAAGTGTTTTGTATTTAATTAAACAATTCATACAAGACTAACAATCTTCTAATAATTTTTTCTGATGTGACGTAACCCTTAAGGGCGATCACTTCAGGGACGGATCTAGCCTTACCTGTAAGAAGGGATGCAGGCTTTCCATGAGGTGGTGCACGACGGAGCCTTACGGCCAACCGTTCCTCTACAGTCTGCAACACTACTATCCCAACATTGCCATTATTTGGAATGGCCGAATCTGCATGTTCGATTCGCCGTTCTGTTACGTTTTGAATTATCTTTTGTTTATAGAGCCGCGTTTATGTCGGCTTTTTATCACATATGCGTGACTGGCCAGTTGCTGTAATACATTACAGTATATTTGAAAATATGGCTGTGCAACAACCACAACATGTTTACGTAATTATTTAACCATGATATTTAACTAAAGCATTCTGCGTATTTTCTGGTGAGCTTACAAATTTGTTTCCCCCTATGTACGGCTTTGCTAATATTTACAAATATTTTCTAATACTGATTTAATAATATTGGGCTATAGGGGACCTACTAGAAACCCTATAACAGGCTTTTTAATTTAGGCCCCTAGTTATAATTCATTGTTATCTATTAATTAATATATTTACAGTAAAATCAGAAAAACAATTATCTTAGAGTGTATTATTTACAAAAGGAAAGAAATAAATAAATATAATAACAGTACAAATATACGTCATATATGTATAGGTTATTTTGAGGCAACGAGGGGATATGTGATTTATTAACACATATCCCCGAGGTGCCTCAAAATAACGTACTTATTTTTCACACTGCGAGGTCGCATTAATGAGTCAGAAAAGAAATAATTCTTAATGTCATATTGCTTTTGCGATGTTGTTTTTTTTCTCATTTTTTGTGCTGCAAAGACATTGCAGGTGAATATTAGAGGGGATTATTAATTGCAGGTGAATATTAGAAGGGATTATTAAACGGAAATTGATTAAAGGGGAATATTGAATATATTCCCCGATAAGAACAAAGGAAACCGAGCAGGGTGAAAAATAAAAAGGCATATTGACACTAGTATTTATCACTATATAATATATGTAAGTAGAATGCATAATTTTGAATTTGAATCCTTTTTCTAATTCATGATCAGTAAATAATGCTGTTTAACTTGTTTTTTGAAAGCAATGCAAGAGTTTATATCTTTAATTTGATATTTGATTCTAGTAGGCCCTAAGTTCCATACATCAGCACCTTTATTAGAAGGAGTATGCTTTGCATAGTTTGTTCTTTTATATTGCTTGTAAAGTTTGGATGTATTTCTCGTGTTATGCTGATGAATTTGATTACTACTCACAAAAAAATTATCAAATTCTTCAGGTAGATTTTTAAAATGGTGATATCGAAACATAAACATGGCAGTTAAATATAGTCATTAATTTTAAAGATATCTAAGATGTTTAATTCTTTAAAAACCGGCTCAGTGTGTTCCAATTAAATCGTTTCAAAAAATCGACACGCGTTAACAGGAGAAGTTCCGCTAATCGCTATTCGAAAAGCAGAAAATATATGGTCAAGCTGATTTTTAAGGTGGTGTGCTGGACTTCTGGGGGGGGGGTGTGCTGCGCACTCGCCTGCACCTTTGCGGTAGACTCCGCCCCTGCTGACGTTCATGCATTATTCGTTTAACAGATGGTCTGTATGGCTCAGAAATTTTGAATCAGCAGCAAAACTACACTGTTCAGTTGGAGAAATGGCTTGGTGGCGTAAAGTCGTGGAAGTTATGTTACCGTGCTACGGATAATGGTTGGAAAGGATTTATCTTCCATCATCGGTGTGATTATAAAACCCCGACTGTCACCATCATTCGATGTCGATCTTACATCTTTGGCGCATACAGCAACATACCTTTTGGAGGTTACTTTACAATTGCATTGGAATTTTATTAAGACTTACGTATTGTATACAGTTTTTTGTTTATTTTGAAAAGAAAAGAACGATTCAAGCAAGATAACCTTTAAAATTACGTATCAAACTTCTTCACAGAATTTTATCGATCTTGATTAATTATTTAACTCCAATGAAATCGGTGAAATTAAATCCTTTTAGTCATCGAATTTTGACCAATTGGCTGTCCGCAGCAACTCGGTATTTCTGCGGTCTATATCCATAGATATCTTATATACACTAGATAGTGCATCTAATTATTTTGCATTTCAAAAATTGAAGCCGTGATTGCAGATTCAGGATATTCCCATGAAATGAGAAGATTCGTATATTTTCTATGTAAACGTATTCCAAATACATTTCTAAACTATTCAAATGATGAAAGTTATTGTTGTTTTTTAAGCATTTATTAGCGAGTGGGAACTACCAACATGGCCGCCATCTATTCAAATGGGCGTAACCGTTGGAATATTCTTGGCTCAATTTTACTAAAAGAGATGCGCTATCTAGTGTATATAAGATATCTATGTCTATATCCCATAAACTGTCTCATAGCGAGCTTCATGGCAATTACAGTGAGTTTATGTAACTCATTATATAGTATTCTCTATAGACCCGGCATATCAGTGCATGAAGCGTTCGACAAACTAGATAAACAAAGCCTATTAGTGTTCTCTATATAAAGCATATTAATTAGATATATTATAGAGCATATACTAATTAGTTTACTGAACTCATTGCCAGTATAATCGATAAAAAAAACATATAATAAAAATACTTCCCAAAAATATAAAGAAAGAAAATCTAAGAAATATAATTCTTCGTGGATGTGATCATGTTCTTCTAAGTCGGATCCCGCGGTCGTCTAACTAATTCTCGAAATCTATATCCCACTGAACACAAGTGATCATTGTCTATCCCATACATAGTTCATATATATTATTTCAATACATTTCAGTTTTAACTTTCTTTTTTTTCTCATTTTACTTCAGGTTCGGCAGGTTACCGAAGTAGTTCCAATGCATTTATCTTCTCTTTCGTGAATAAAGACAACCTCCCTCCCTTCAAATCTCCTGTCTACAGAAACAGTAGACATGCTTTATACACTAATGCTGGTTATGGTCCCACATTTGGTGGTGGTAATGATATTTGTATTGTGAATAATGCCAATGCAAATACTGGTTCCTACACAAACCTTGGCTTTACCTATCGACCACCAAGCGGGTATACCTACAACACGGACAAGGTGAAGAATCTTCTCGCTGGCACATATAAATTCACACCGAACGAGATTGAAACATTTTATTTGAACATTTGATTAATTTTTCGTAACGTACATTTTAATTACACTTAGAAACATAATAAGATAGAAAATAACGCAAATGAATGCACTGCATGCACATCGGTGAAATTAAATATGAGTACTGCCAAGTATATAATTATGCGAATATTTTGTGTTACTGTACAACCTCGTTGATGCTCGTTCCCATGCAGGGCTTTAACCTCGTTCCCAGGGCTTTCGTGTACAGTGTATAGCTATACCGTCAATAAATGTGCTGTATTTAAAGATGAGGTCAAATCTGTTCTGCGCATGTGCTATGTAAAGACCCTCTAGTATAAACAATACCCAAATTTCGCGTTATTTTGACATCTTCTAAATTGAAACTCTAATCATAGCGAACCATGCAGTCGAGAATGATGTTAGCTAGAATTTGGTATATCATATTTTCAGATGAAATAATATAGTCTCTTCAAAATCTGAACAAACTGCACATCCACCGAACAAACTTGACCGGCGCCACTTTATTTAATAAGTAATTTTAATGAATAATAATCATTGTCTCAGATATAACGTGTTCAGTTTTCACTGATTACCAATATATTTGCCAAACAGCCCTGATTTCACCTTACGTCATCATCGGCATTTTTGGATGAATTCAGTTGACCAAGGAAATTCCTTGCTTGCATGCAATCAATCGTCTTTTGCTCAAGTTTTCGTTTTATTAATATTATATATAGGATATTGAACAAATTTTGACAAGAATTTAAGCGGCCTCTGTAGGATGAACATTTTCAGTACCCTGAATATCATTTGAATATCACTTCGGATTAAATAACTCTTATAGCAGACCTTTTCAAGGACCGGCCTTTTTGTAGGGGGTTTGAACCCCAAACATAATATAGGCATCGACTGTTGCGAATGAATTTGACCAATTAATATTTAATACTAATGAACCTAATCGGCAGATCGGCTATTCGAGTGCTTCGACCTTGCATTATATTTTTTTCGTCATGCGCACAAACTCAGAAATAAAATCTATTATTGTATAACTCTGAAGCGTTTCCCTGATAAGATAAGAAATTGAAAATTTGAGTACATTTTGTAGCCTATATGTTTCATACATCAGTTAGTGACGACTCGTTCGTAAGAGTTGTGGGCGTTACCTAAAGAATCTTCTAACAAGATTAGAATATATATGATAACATATTCATTATCATATAGTTCAATAGTACATAAACTTGACTGAACCTACATTTGGAACTTGGTAGTCGAATCCAGGAAGACTAGTGTTATAATTATAACCCAACAAGAACTAAATATGTTATCCGAACATAAGCCAGATTTGAATCTCAGTATATTCAGCTTCAGCACAAACTGGCTTTCTGCCAATTGAGCTTTGTCATAGTCAAGTGCATGTTGTATAATTTATGAATGCTTTTCTTTAGATGGAGTTGTTATTCCAAACCCCGGTTTTGCAGACAGTCAGCCATGTGGTGGACGCTTTCTAGACGAGTTAAGCCAATCCTTTGGTGTTATAGTACCTACTCGATTTATAATTAGCAGAAATTGTTGTCTTTAGAAAAAAGTAGATTAGAAATGGATGTTTTTCGTTACGTGAAGAGATGTTATATCAAGCTCTTGAATTCGTATTAATCAAGGTAAATTAAAGCGATAGATAGGAGCTGTACCGAAGTGAACCTGTAACATTTTGACGTCTAATGGATGCTGCGTGTATATTTTCATTTATTTTAGCTCTAAATATTTGTCACCCCAAATGGCGTAAGCCACGACAAGTCTCCACAAAAACCCCAATTATATGCTTAAATTACAGGGCTGACATAGAATGTCTTTGAAAAACGCCACATGGATACGCAAAACTTCCCTCCTCGTTTTCAGCAATCCCAAACAACGTCAACGATAACTGCAACGTTCATAAAGTTTCATAGGTTTTGTTGCAATGATCATAATTGCGCAACACGGAAGCAGAAAGTGCATGCAGGAAGAAAATACCATGCATAGCTTTCAGATACATCAAACTGTAATTATGTTGAAAGTACCAATTAATTAATTAAAGAAATGAATACACTAAATGATATGGCCAATTCAAAAAAGGTTGTCCTTCAAAAAATCTTAAACCTTAAACATTGAGCGCGCAAAGTATGATGGGTATTGCTCATTTGGAGCCTTAGATTTGGCATTGGTTTAGCGAACCAAATAACCCTACATCAAAACTGTTCATCATATGCCCTAGCATTGTTGTACTGAAGCAAATTTCCACAGTTTAAGACGCTAAATAAGAATAGGATGTTACCCATCTTCCTTGCGCACTCAATGTTTAAAGTTTAAGATATTCAGTGAAAGACAATTATTTTTGAATTAGCTGCATAATAGCTATGCTAACTATTTACTCCTTAAAGTTCGATCATAAACTTTATCCTTAATTAAGACTGCATGTATAGCATATAAACTGTTATCTTAACTTTAAATTTATTTCAGTTAAAACCTTTACATTAACGAAAGCAACATCCAAAACTGCACACTGAGTACATGTTATGTATATCTCCAGACGTCGTATATACAGCTATTTCAATTAAGGTTGTCCCCCGAACAAAGCGGAAAAGTCGAACACGAGCGCGAAAGGCTGCTGGGAATCGCTAATAAATTCATTCATTTAGTTAGCGATTCCCAGCAGTCTTTCGCGCTCGTATTTGACTTTTCTGCTTTGCTCGGGGGACAACCTTAATTGAAATAGCTGTATTTTTATTAATGTGTGTATATATTTAACAAATATAAAACATTTTCCGTGTTGATATACAGTTATATCAACACGAGTGGAATTGGGAAAACGAGAAATTGTATGGAAACACGACGCCCGAAGGGCGGAGTGTTTTCATACAATTTCGAGTTTTCCCAACTTCCACGAGTGTTGATATAACTATATATCAATACGGGAAAATGTTTTATATTTTTTTTATAATATAGCAATGTCAAAAGCCCGAAGGATGAGAAAAATTTCCGTGTTTACGAGCGGCGGAAAATTTCCCGTGTTGACATTGAGTTATATCAACACGGCTCTTAGCCAATCAGCGTTCAGAATTTACAAATGCTATATTATAAATATATATATATATATATATATATATATATATATATATATATATATATATATATATATATATATATATATATATATATATATATATATATATATATATATATATATATATATATATCATCTCCAGATATACATCATCACCACCGATTACGTCCTGGGTCGATCATCCGCATCTCCACAAAAAAGATTATATATGCTTATAGCGCTGATATATAGACACTTTCCACTTAGAATAAAGTGCCTCTAAAAAAACGCCCATTATCTTCAAATCTTTGTTATCACCAATCATTATCAAACTGCATTGTTACTCACTGTTGGATGTTGTGCCCGCAGCAAAATTTAGCCAGGCGACTGCATCATCCTGTAGTACCGAACTGAAACGACTTTTTCCGGTTATTATATGCTTTAATATACAAGACTCTTGAGTCAACTGTTTATTTCAAGATCAGAGAGCACAGAGTGAGGACTTCGTACAAAAAAGTAAGTCAAAATTATTGTTCAAACGCATGCATGCATGTTGGACAAATACTAATAAGAATTTACATCGTGAAGAAATCATAACCATAGGTTTCGCTTCATGCTTATTACCCTTTTAAACATTACTTAAACTTTCTTATTGCGCTCAATTTTAACAATAATGTATTGCAGTTTAATAATTTTGTCTCACTTTCATGAGTCGAAAGATGGAATTTTCTGTTCCCAGCCCAACCCATCTTATGCTAAGAAGCCCTGTAAATTTTTTCATAATACTATATGGATTACTCTATTCACAGAAAGATGTTTAATCGCTTGGTATTAACAACCACTCTATTTCTAGCAGGTAAACTGTCAATAATATATCTTAGCAATTTATACAGGTTCTAGTGTCAGAAAAAACAAGTCACAACACTAATTCATATATACAACGTTCCCAGAAGGAACTCTTCTGTATTACATGCAATAAGTTTATAGTGCCAGCATCCTTTTAGTTTTCGATAAATTGTCAATTGAAATTTGTTGAACTGCTGCGAATACCTGCATTGTATATACGTGACAGCGCTTTATAATAACATGCTATCTTTCAGTTGGCTGTTAGCCTGTTGCATGGTTGCATTAATTATTTTGAAGATTGAAAATCACCTGGACTGGTAAAGGTTTAGCCTTTAGCGGCTTCAAACCTCAAACATTTCATACGCCGATTCAAATATACCTAATATATAACTTTAGATTCGTCACATGAATATAGTTGCACTTGAAAAGTGCCTGACCTTCGTGAAAATATTATAGTGGTAGCCGTAATAACATTTCGACTTTTATTGTTTAGGGTTGATCGCTGTGACGACAGCACAGAAGACGACAGCACAGCCCAAACCATCGCAATCGTGTCAAAATCGTGGAGTGATTGTGGGCCGGAATCGTTATCCAAAATGCCGTTGCGACCCTGGCTTTAAGGGATATGACTGCAGTCAGAGAGGCAAGCGGTTTAAAATACCAGAGCTTAACGATGATTGAGTATTGAGTTGTCATAGGCTAAATAAAGGAACAGTGACGTACTGGCAGTGAGCCATGTCCCTCCCCCTGCGAGTCATTTTCGGGAACGCGGAAACTGCATGAAATGAAACCAAAATTCTACCTAAAAATTGGTCAATTCTATAGCTAAAATTTGGGCGAGTGAGTAAAGAATGGAATTCCTACTCCCTCCCCCCCTCACACTTCCCCGTCCCCCCGTCGGCCACATTTCGGAAGTCGACAATGACTGGCGCTCGAGAACGATGAGCAAGTGTTTTTGGGGCTAGCCCGCCCGTCGATAAAACAGCTTAGGACAGCTAGTTGATCTTTGGGGGTGCAGCACTGACTCTCCTCTGGGCTCACGATTCACTCGCATAGAGGAGTAGTATCAGAGCACAGTAGCAAGTCTAGTGTGCACTCTATTGTGACGTAACCTTATCGAATTATGAATCAGTGGACAATTGGATCACAGTACAGTGACGTAGCCAGGATTTCTAGTTAAGGGGGGGGGGGGAAATCTCAGGAGGGGCCCAAGCAATTTTACCTTGCGCTAGTTCGAATAAAGTTTGTGAAAATGGATTTGAACGTCCATGCTATCCATACGTAATATAATACAGTTAACTTTCAGGGGGTTCCCGGAATGTACTCCCCCAGGAACATTTTTAAATTCTAGAGGTGATAAAGTGTCATTTTCAGCATTTTGAGGGCTATTTTTAATGTGTTTTGGTGATTTTAAATAACTATGTAACACACTTAAAACATAGGAAGATATGGAATTTCCCTTGAATATATGAAAATATAATGCACATGCTTGTACTGGTCAGAATTTTTCTAAGGGGACCCTATATTTTACCAGGAGGGGGCGCCCCCCTCTGACTACGCCACTGCCATAGTACTGACTACTGAGTGACTTTCGTCTTGTCTCTAGTGACTCCTTGTGAAATAAGTCCTTGTAGAAATGGAGGAACATGTTCAGAAAACAGAGATGGAACATTTACGTGTAATTGCACAGCTTTATACAAAGGCATCTTGTGTGAACGTCGAAGTAAGTTATAATTTTGCTATAACTCTATCCGCTGAGCACTGATATCATGAGCTCATATTAAAATTTAAAATCCGTATCAATCAAGGAAATTAGCCTTACATCAGTCTGCATGCACGCAGAAGACCTGATTTGAGAATGACCTAAGATTGACCTAAAATCTGAGTTTTGTGCAACATCGTTTGGTTGGTCTGAAATTATGGTGTCAGGTTGATCCATGGAAGAGGTTATTTCGTTGGCCTCAGAGTGACAAAACGTAACAAAGCAACGGTTTTTACACTACACTAATGCTGTGCTGAGTGGTTATATTACTACCTTAAAAAACAAGCAGAACTCGACGTTTCGAGCGAAGGCTCTTCGTCAAGAGTTAGTAGCTACTAACTCTTGACGAAGAGCCTTCGCTCGAAACGTCGAGTTCTGCTTGTTTTTTAAGGTAGCAGTGGCGTAACTAGAGCGTTAATGGGGTGTGTATATTCATATATTCGTGTTCTGCCCGACTAATTTCTTTTGAAATGAACTTAAAAATAAAGAAATTCAAAAGAAATTCGTCGGGCAGAGAACACGAATATACCCAACAATTTCAAACCACCCTATTTCAAACACCAATTCTAACCCTAATTCTTACCCAAGTTTGTTTCTAAACCAATCTTGAAGAAAAATGTTTTGACGAAATGTCATTCTGAGGTCAGCGAAACAACTTCTTCCTTGGTCCGCTATAAGCCTATAAACCTAGGTAAGTCGCAGGTCACCTCATGCCAGTTTAGTCCTCAAGACAAACAGCTTTAGGTGGGCTTTTAGCCTGGTATAAGTTTTTATAGTGTACGATGAACAGACGATCGCGAAGCTTACAACCCTATATAAAGAATATTTTTCTTCCAGTTCGACCATGTGACAGCGGACCCTGTAAAAATGGAGGAAATTGTACTGATGATGGAATAAAATGTTTCCAATGTAAATGTCCCCCCGGTTTCAAAGGACCCGACTGTTCTAAAATTGGTAAGACACAGGCTTACAGTTATAGTTAGGGAAGGGGCCAGGGGGAACCGAACAATATGTTCCCTTATATTAGCCATTTCCTAAAGTCCTGGGTCTAGTCTCGCGAATCCCATGTTGGAGGGACAAGAAATATGTCAGCACACGTTTAAATTACTGTCGATGCAATGGAAGTGTTGATAAAATATTGTAATAATACAAGTTGATCAATTCATACGAATTCAAATTTCTTTTTACTTCCTGTGCGTTTCCTATTGGTCAATCGGTTCTGAAACGAAATCTAATTGGCTCATCTAAAAGTAACAGGAAGTTGATTAATTTTCTATCAAATGAATTGATCAACTTGAGGAAATGAATTCATGCAATATTTTATCAACACTTCCATTGCATCGGCAGTATATGTTTAATGTAAAAAGGAGATATTTTATTTTTGGTTGTCTGAAAAGTTGATTTTGATAGTAGATACTTCTACTCTTTCACATATTTGACACCTGTCACCATATATTTTGTCCCTCCAAACGATCCCAGAATGCACTGTGATCTCTTTTGGGAAAAGGCTAATTGGTTGGATACCATATACCTAAAACTCCAGCACATACTAAAACCAACTGTTGTTTTAAATATTAATACGGAATTATGTTTTTTATTTAGTTGAACCATGTGAAATTAAACCCTGCAAGAACAATGGTGTTTGTACGAAGAAAAAAGGAGGAAAATTTGCATGCAAGTGTAAGGAGGGATTTGGAGGAACATTGTGCGATAAGAGAGGTAGATCTGTTCCAGCAGATCAATTGGTTGATACAGAATATTCCATTCAGCTTTACCCAATGATCAGGATGCTTCATTGTCGTTTCATCCAGTCACTTATTATTAACTTTCAGAATTTGCAGTTTGAGTGCACACGAAACAACTAGAAATTAAGGCTGACCGATGATCCTACTGCATGTATAAGTTATAGCCAACAAGTTACATTCAAGAAAATCCGGTAATGGTCTATTTCAAAATAAAATATATATTATAAATAAAAACCCTGAAATGCCATCGGAAGATGATCATAAGTATCATTAAGGTAATTAAGTGTTTTGTATTTAATCATCCTTCCTGATGTAAGCTTAAGGACAATCTGACGTTCATGCATTATTCGTTTGACAGACGGTCTGTATAGGTCAGAAATTTTGAATCAAAAAGAAAAATACATTGTCAAGTTAGAGAAATGGCTTGGTGGCGCAACGTCGTGGAAGTTATGTTACCGCGCTACGTTTCATGGTTGGGCAGGATCTACCTTCCATACTCGGTGTGATTATAAAAACCCGACTGTCACCATCATCCGTTCTCGATCCTACATCTTTGGCGCATACAGCGATGTAGCTTTTGGAGGTTAGTTTATAACTGCAATACTGCATTTGAGTTTTTGTCTATTTTGAAAAGAAAAGAATGTATGATTCAAGCAATATAACTTTTAGCATAATTTTATTCAAGTGGGGGAGGGGGCAATCATTGAACAAGAAAGAAACAAAATGGCTGTCAACGCATCTTATATGTAAATGACATCATAAAAGCCAATATAAAACAATATAAGCAATATAAAAGCCTTCCTTTACCCTTGACATAGACCCTTGACTCCCATGCGTGACGTCATAATTACAAACACGAGAATTACTGAATGGATTAACATTTGCTCCAATAAAATCGGTGAAAATGAGAAAATCCTTTCAGTCAATTAACCAATTTTAAATTAATTCCTAACTCGAGATGAAGACTGAGATGTTACATACACGCGTAAAAATGCTCAGGTTGATGCAATACTGATGAAAACAGGATTGAACAATGTTTTGCTGCCCACATTGTTGATAGCTGTCAACAATATTGAACAATATTGTTACACCCGATTCAGGCGTTCAATATTGTTGACAAGTGTGAACAACGTGGGCAGAAAAACATTGTTCAGTCCTGTTGAGCAGCGGACTCGGCGTTTTTTGCCGTGTATAGTTTAGATATTTTAATACATTTCAGATTTCAACTTTCTTTTTTTCTCATTTTATACTTTAGGTTCGGCAGCTTATAGAAATAGTTTCAAATCATTTATCTTCTCCTTCGTCAACAAAGACAACCTCCCACCCTTCAAATCTCCTGTCTACAGAAACACTGGATATGCTTTATACACTAAACCTACTCATGGTCCCACTTTTGGTGGTGGTCATGATATTCATATTTCAAATAATGCCAATTCAAATACTGATTCCTACACAAACCTTGGCCATACCTATCAGACACCAAGCGGGTATACCTACAGCTCAACCAAGGCGAGAAATCTTCTTGCTGGCGCTTATAAATTCACCCCTAACGAGGTTGAAACATTTTATCTTAATTAACTTTTGATTAAATTTTCAAGACATAGATTTTGCATTTAGAAACACAGTAAGATAGAAAATAACGTAAATAAATGCACTGCACATCAGGGAAATTAAACACGAGTACCGCCAAGTATACGAGTATTTTATGTTACTGTGTACTGTAGCTAATGTCAATAAATGTGCTGTATTTAAGTAATTTGAATAAATAATAATCATTGTCTCAGATACGACGTGTTCAGTTTTCACTGATTACTGTGAATATATTTGCCAAACAGCCCTCGTTAACCTTGTTTCACCTTACGTCATCAGCATCATTTTTGAACGAACTTGACAAACAAAATTCCTTGCTTGCTTACATGCAATCCATCCAAGATGGTGATTGGT